TTTGACTTCGTCTTTCTTCGCAGTGCCGACCTGGTCCTTGATCGAGCTGGAGCTCGTCTTTACGTCGACCGGAATAGCTCGGATGGCAGTTAACTGGCTTACGAGGGAGTCGCTTGGTGGGCTCGAGGTCTTCTTGCTGGGCTTGAGTGGGCCTGGACTTCAATCTTGGATCAAGGTAATGGGCCCTTACGGGCTAGATTCCAGGTGTGGAATCTGGGTCCAACACATATGATTAGATGATTTCAATTTTGAATGGTTAAACACATACCTCAGTCTTTCCCTATAACTTTTTTTTTTGGCTGCTACTATCAAAAACACATCAAATCAAAAGCTATAACACACATGGGGAAGAACTAAAGATTAAGGCAACGCCTATATGAACATACCTCAAGTTGTTTATGTACTTCAATCGGAAGCCTCCATAATACCTGTCGAGAGTATATATATGAATGGTGTTGCAACTTTGTAACTTTTTCTGGAGAGAAATCATACAAAAATTATTAAGATAGAAACCAGTTTATACGTAGCTTCTAAGTTGTAATGGTTGTAGCTGCATTTTAAAAAAGATGAAACCAGTTTGCAATCATTAAGTGTCAGAATTCGGAACCTAAATTTATAGTCTACTTCTCATTGTGCATATAAGAAAAATCAGCAAACATATTTTTTTATTGACAGCCTTGATTCTTCAGTAACCCTCCTTTTTGCTTCTGAAGCTAAGCTAGATCCTTTTCAGCTATACGTTAATTTCCAAAAAACTTTTTTGAAAAAATCGAACCAAAATTTTTGTAATATCTTATAATATTTCCCAATATTTCTCTTCTGTTTTTGTCATAACTACGCGTGGATTAGTAATAATCTTGTTTCAGTTCTAGATATATTGGAATATTTTTGTTATTGGTTTTTCTTGTTTGGTTAAATGTTTTATTTTGCTTTTCAAACTGGCAAGAAATGATGCTTATGCGTCTTGTGCATTTATGATATTAAATTTTTTTGGTTATTTTTTATTTCGTTCAATTTGGTAACATGGTCTAATCGATGTTGTAAAGTTAACAGATTTAGAAGATTTTCATCATTGATTCATTTCATGATGACCATCGGACAATACAAAAGGGAACATAGGAATAATATTCAAATGAAGAATTTTCCTGGTAGAGTTTACTTACTAATTAAACCATCCATATTTTTATTGCAATGTTGAACTGTGTATTAAAAGTTGGGTTAATTTGCTGTATAACAATATTGGGCTTCATAATGTAGAATATAGCCATGATGTTTTGAAAATTGAGAGACTAACAAAGAGAAATAATTTTGGCCCTTTTTCTCCCTTACATGAGCGGGAATCTTCCCCCCAAATTTCTTGTGACGTTGTCCCTTACCATATAGAAGCATTTACATCCACAATTTACAACTTTCAATTTTATAGCATAACGATTTAGTGTTAATGAAATTAAATTAAATTATTAATAATAAAACTTTACTCTACATTAAAAGTGTGGTTACCGCTCCAACAACACTTATTTAAAATGAGGGTATATCATAACCTACCTCAACATACTATATTTATCCCTAATATATTAAAAGAGAAAACACTTTAAAAATAACCTTTAGTTGATGTGTTATTAACAAGAATGTCATGCTGATGTGTCATCATTAGGGAGCTTCTCATGTTATTTATAAAATAAGGATTAGTTTACTAGACTAATTACAAACATTGCCATTCATATTTTTGGTTAGAGAATCAAATATGTATAGTTAGATTAATCATATATGAAATTATTAATAAAAGAATCATCATTCTCTTTCCTTAATTGGCAATTACGAAAATTAGTAAATAAGGAAAATATGAGATTCAATTTAATGCTATCATTATATTTTTTTTAAATCATTCTATATCTCCTTTCATCTTTGTTTAACTTTATTTTATAAAATAAAAAATTGACACAATACTAAAAAATCTAATAAATAAAATCTAAAACTTTTTCTATATATGCTATGATTTGAATTTTTAAAAACAAAATAATCACTAAAACTATTAAAATTCCCAATATGTTGTTGTGTGTAGGTGTAAAAATATATTATAAAAAATAGATGATATGCAACCATGTAAGTAGGAGAGTAGGTATCTAAATGTAATTTTTTAAAAATATTTTATATGATTTTTTAGTTAAACTGTATAATGAAATCAAATAAAATAATATTTTTTATAAATGTATTTAATTTTGATCAAAAATTAGAATATTGCTCCATTTGTTTCAACTTTTCAGTACAAAATTACTTATACTTTTGTTATTTTGACAATTTGGATTTTGCAAGATTGATCTTTTATTGGTTGGATTTTTTGGAATTATAATAAAAAAATGTTAGTTCTAATCCGTGTAAACACCTAAAACTTCTTATCTTCTTATCTTATAAAATATACTCATTTGAATTTTATGTATTTTGCTGAAGTCTAGCATATTTAATCTATAGTCTAGCATATTTAATCTATGTCTATGATCAATGTTTTAATTTGTTTTAATTTTTAAAATGTTTAATTTCCACATTATAAACGAAGATAAAAACCTTAACAAGGTAAAAAAATCTGTCACATAAAATTTTGAAATAGTTAAATATACATTTTTAATTAAAAAATACAAATTCAGAAACCATCTCCCCGTGCTGGGCGCGGGTCAAACTCTAGTTTTATTGAATAATGAAACATAAGAACATTCGTTGACTTTAGTGACGACTCATAGAACTGAAAACTGTATTGAAACCAATTATGCGTCTATTTTGGCTACTACATAACATAACATATAGTATATGATTTAACTAAGAGACTCTAGAGTACAAAAATTACTTAGTACATACTACAAACGCAACAGAACGTCGAGAAACACATTGGAGATAACAATACTCAAATCTGACAATTACTGAAAGTGTCCCAAAGTTGAAGAGCCCATGTTACGTCGTACTAGTTCGTCGTCCTCTTCAAATCAATTACCCAATACCGATTCACCACTATCTTTCTATGGCCTGTAAGAAACAAACGCACAAGTTAAAGGTAACACATCGCTAATTAACAAATATTTCCTTCCAAAGTTCCAATGAAAAATAGTATATGTTATATCCACAATATAAAAAAATAGTATAGTACATCAATTCAAGCTAAGTAACAAAGAACATGTTGTTATGGTAATTAAAAAATCCAAACAAAACACCATTCAAATATAGTATAAGACATAAATTTAAAGTTCATGGTTTAAAGTTGGGGTTAGGAATCAAAACCACAAAAGCTAAACCCTAAACTACAAACTCTATATCATAAAATCTAAACCCTAGTCAAGATAAGTGAACCCAAATAACCCTAAACTATAAACTCTATATCATAAAATCTAAACCCTATTCAAGATAAGTGAACCCAAACAGATAATTTTACAGTACATTCAATTTAGAGTTTAGGGTTTAGAATCTTAAACCCCAAACTTCAAACCCTAAACCCTAAACACCAATCTCAATTGTCAATTTACAATTCAATTTATTCTGAATATATGGTCACTAACTCACTACACATTCTGTATAATTCCACGCAACAAAATGGTATAATATAGAAGATAACAAAATAGTATAGTAAGCTTCTTTTCCATAACTTATGTATTTACCTTGATTTCATCGATATATAAATCTAAATCTCATAACGTATAACACATATTATCAATCTGGCAAAATCATCAAGTTTTACATGCACCATAGATCCTAAAATTCACAATGGAAAAGAACATGAATCGGAGAAGGACACCAAAATTAGGAGAAATTGAAAACCATATAAGCTAATCTAAATCACAGAATCAAGAGGAAAATCGATTTCTAATGAGATTACACTAAATATGCTGAAGATACGATAGCCAATTTACAAATATTTTGGAAGAAACTAACCTAGATCAACGAACAATGGCGCCGTCGGAGAAATCAATCAAAGATCGTATTCTCGACATCTGTCGGATGTGCACATAAACATAAATAGCGAGAAGGATGATGAAGGAGCAATTGAGAGAGAGAGAGAGTACAATAGGTTCTACTTGAGAGAGGGTTGGTGAAAGCTGCACAGTTTTCGCCACATACAGTATGTTCTAATTTTGTGATTTTGTCTGAGATTGTGGGTAATGGAACTGTTTCAAAACCTTCTAACATCCCCTAAGAAAATTACCCTAATTTTTAAAATTGTAACCTTCTCTCTCATGGAAGGAGTGAATTGGAAATACTTCATAAATTACGGAGAATATAGTAGCCATGTGATTGTTATTGTTACTTTGCTAAATATGCCCTTCAATATTGTCATCTACTATAATTTCCCTTAAAAGTTGTTCTTTTGGTATTTTTTTTTTTCTTTTTTTTTTTGTCAACAGCCTAAATTTCTATAACGGCACGGGAGCGAAGCCGGTGGAATTGAGTTGATGTAGTACACATTATGAGGCTGATCTCGAGCACTCCGTGCTAACTTGTCTGCCTTCGTGTTTTGTGATGTGGGGATGTGTGTAAGGGAGAACGCCTGGAACATCCTTCTGCATTTGTCCATTTCTTCAAGCAAAATCTCAAAAGCTGGACACTCTGCCGGTTTGGACACCATCTTTACCAACTGAGCACAGTCTGTTTGGAAATTCATCCGTTGTTTGTTATGGGCTAACATACTTTGCATAGCCCAAACTAAAGCCTCCAATTCCGTCTGTAGGGGAGATAAACCCCGCCTAATATTGCTGGATCCCACCAATATTGAGCCCGATTCCGGATCAAAATAGTACCACCCAATTCCTGCCCGAGGCTCCGTTACTTTCTATGCACCATCAATCTGACACAACTCACCCAACAGGACGGGCCCGGGATGTGTGGAGATGTCGAAGTGCACCCGTTCAGTTACCGTTTGAGCCGCAGCCCATGCACGTGCTTCCGTTACCGCGGATTCCATTACATCCATCGGACTATGATCATCGTTTGAGAAAACTTTGTAATTACGGGCTTTCCAAATGAACCAGAGCAACCACAGAAACATCAACATATCATCATTGTCTGGGAGATTCCAGAATAGATTAGCCATATTTGAGAAAAGTGCGCCTGTAGGGAAGCACTGGGGAGGCCTTGGAATGGGTGAGAGGGCCAAGCCTGGCGAGCCGGGGGGCACTCGAAGAGCATATGATTTATTGTCTCATCTCCCATTCCACATCGCACGCATTGCGGGTCCACTCGCATTCCTTGACTGCATAGACGGGCCCTAACCGATAAACAACCGCTAATGATCTGCCACATAAAATGTTGAATCTTCGTAGTGCATTTGACTTTCCATGATTGTGCTTGCAGTCTCCGGACGTCCGGTCCAAAAACTGGTGGGGCCCCCTCATCTGAGAGGTCCTGCAAGACACTGTATCCCGACTAAACGACCCGTTGGTGTGAAGTACCACCCCCAGGTATCAGGTTTGTATCCAGTTGCCACTAGGATACTTGTAATGCGAGTAATTTCCTCGTTCTCGAACAATTGTCGCAATAGTGGACGATTCCACGTTGATGTCTGAGAATTAATTAACTGATTCACCGTCAGATGAGGATAGTAATTAATTCCTTTGCAGATAGCTGGCCTCGGGCAAGAATCGGAAATCCAGGGGTCATACCATACGGGGATGGATGAACCCGAGCCAACTCTTTTAATAAGTCCTTTGTATACCAGAGGTCGAGCCGAAACAATACACTGCCATCCATATGACGGAGAGTAAGATCGAATCGGGTCCAAGGGGGAAGAATTCCAAAAATATCGCCCCTTGAAAACTTTTGCAAACAGTGATTCCGGATTATCCATTAACCACCATAATTGTTTGCAAGTAAAGCCGTGTTAAAGTCTTCTATTACTCTAAACCCTAGTCCCCCATCTAAAGCCGTGTTCCTCTAGTATTTTTCATAACTGAAGATAAATTTGTATATAATATACCTCTTTTTTGTTTCACCAAATCCCGAATAAATAAAGAGGATTTGCATAAACAGTTTTACGTTTTAGTGGTTTTTCCTGAAAGTTACAATCATCATGCCTTGTTGTATATTCAACAGACTTGTGTCTCTTTCGTTTTTTTTCCTAATTATTAACCTTTCTTTTATACACATAAAAAGGATCCTTCTCACTAATTCTAACACCTTAAAGCTTTAGCCAAAAGGTAAACTTGTTATCAATGTTTTTATTTATACTCGGTCATTCTTCTTACACCATACAACTTCTTAAATCCTAATGTACACATGTGTAAGGCTACTTAAATCCGGTTGAGGAGATTACGACTAAGAGAGCGATTAATTATTTATACATTTCTAAGCCCTCAAACACTCTCTTTTAATCAACTATTTATCTATTCCTCATTTCACGCAGGAGTTTGTAAATAAGCAAAAACTCAAGGATTCAATCTTTGCTGGAGTCAAGAAACAGAGAAAAAAAAGGAAAGGAATAACTCAGTATAGACAAAAGAGTATACAAAGGCCTAACACAAGTAAGATTTTAACTTGGCATTGTATAATTTGGTTATCCCCGCAAAAAGAATTATTCTAATCAGTGATTTACTTAGTATTATACTTGACATTATCTTTGTGCTTCTTTTGACTCTCTTCCTCGTCGTTTAGCAATATTTTCTTGAGGCGCTACTCTCCCAACTCGTCTACTTGTCCTGCTTCTCTTACTTGAACCTCTTTTCACTTCTTTCCCAGCCACAGGTTCTGACATTGGGACAAAGTGCATGAAGAACAAAAGCAGCAAAAGCTGCTAGCGACTGTATCAGAATCCCTGAAGACAGAAGACAGATAAGAAAACTAAATAGTTGGTTCCATATAGTATCCTCTATTGATCAAGAACTCTGGAGCGTCCTGCAGCATAAGCCATTCTATGATATGAAATTCTCATAACAATGGTTTTATATACTCAAATTTCAGGGTTTAGGATTGCGTTAAGAGAAAGGTTTTATATTACCTTCATAATTCCTGCAAAAGTAGCACATCTTCGGTGTTCCATGTGTTTCTTTCTTGGTAGATCATGTTCTGCAATATGAGGTTCTGTTTATTAGAAACAGGAAGAGGAAATGTTAACTTATTACTGATTCAAAGAAGCATACTTTTCGAAATCCCAACTACACAACAACATACTTAATTAAACAAAGCCTGGAAATGTTAAACTTGAAACAAAGGTACTATACTTCTGAAAATTTGGAGGTAGAAGCGTACAACCAAAACGACTCCTACTCATCAAATCATTGAGATAGCATTTCTCTGCATTTCTCAACTCAACAGTGGACATATTTCTTCTCATAACTTTTACACATTACAAATTGTTCTGCTTTTCTTAGTCGTAAACCAAATCGCATTGCAACATCTAAGATAGAAATAATATTGCCAGAGATGATAAAAAAATCCGTTAAGCAAGTTGAAGATGAAGAGATCACCGATGAGAAAAAGTTGTCTGAGCTCTGCTCCAAGCGGCACTCTAATGATGTGATCACTCCGAGCATAGGCAAACGACAGGTCTGCATTGAGAATCCAAGATTCGGATCCTTAACATTCCGTACTGTCCACTTCCCTACATAAACTTGGGAATTCTATCATTGGTTCTTAATGTGAACACATCATTAGTCAGTCACGCAATTGAATCCTTAGCCATTCTACAACCAAAAGGCTTAAAGAACCAAATCACTTCTACATCTCTGTCACTCACGTGTTCTCGGATCAGGTGTACAGAAGATCTTTAAAATGGGTGGTACCTGGTGGTGAAATTCTCGCTTATGGATATGTCCTTCATCCTCTACAAATATTGATAAGATCTATACTTGAAACTGCAGTAAAAAGATTAATGACTTAAATCCGTGGTAAAAACGAAAACTGATGTTGAGATTAAGAGTTATGCAGAGTTTAAATGTTATTGCTAAACGGAGATTGATAACACGGTATAGTAAAACACAACAAAGGGAACTAACTTTTTGGAAATGGCAAATACTTACCGAATGGTTAATGAGCGAAGCTATATTCCCATTCTCTGTAGCATCAACCACTACTTACTCACTCATCTTGAACAGCTGCAAGCAACACAAAACTATACCATTCGTTAAGAGGGACAGAGAGAGAGGAAAAATTGTGGATATCAAACGGGATACACATTTTTTTAACTCACATAGAAATCCTTCTGTTCTCTGCGAAACCGTGCTTCTCTCAAGTCTGCAATGATACCTCTCACTTATTCCCCTCTGTATTCAAGAACCTGAAACAAAATAGCATCTCAACATTCACTCTCATCCCAAATAGATCAAACCCAAATTCATAAATGAGTCTCTCTACGTACCATATCTCCTTCTTGAATATTTTTTCTCGCAAAAGACCCCACCCATGTATTCCAGATCTCTCAAAGCAGACCCGATCCACTTTTGCCTCTGATGCATGAAAGTATGAACCAGACACTTGTTAGATTTGATAATACCTAATAAAAAAAAAAGAGAAACGCCTCAATGTTGCAATCTCTTTATAAGAATGTTTGCCTGTTGCCCTCGTCGCGAAAGAGGAGGCGGTTCGCCGACATGGATCCTTGGACTCTTGTGGTTGCAGAACTCACCGTGGATCTTGTCCAGAACTTGGAAAGTCAGCGGCGGGTTAGATTTCGGAGTGGGTTTTGAAATGTTTTAGTATGTCAAGGGTTGAAGAGTGGTGGGTTTTATAGGGATCGATGAGATGATTCGGGGAAGCAAATTGAGAGGCCATTCAATTGAAGGCATAAATAAATGGTCCCGGTGGGAGCCGAAACAATTCGTCTGTGAAGCTCAGCCTCTACGTCTGTTACGAATGACGGAATGAGAAGAAAGAGATGACGACATCTCGTTTGCTGATGGGCTTCAATTTTGTTGGTTTTATCAAAGATGGGCTTACATGGGCCTTTTTCGGTGATTTTATGTTGCTTTCGTTTTTTTTCTGCTGACGTGGCAGGACGGAAACTCTAATAGAAATGCTGAGGTGGATAGCTTCTGAGGCCCCAAATAGCTGCTTTCAATAGTATAGATGATATAAGTATAAATATTGTTGTTCTAGTGTCATTTTGAACAAATGATGCTTTCTAATTTGATTAATTTTTAAGTTAAAATCATTTGTTGAAATGATACAAAATAAATGATACTAATAAATAGTTTTCTTGTAGTGTATACCAATGACATTGTATGTAAATATTCTAGTAAATGATGTCTTAATTGAAATTGTCTTGAAAGTGAACCTGGTGATGACACATCAGCATAGCATTCTTGTTAATAACATATGAGAAAAATGTTATTTTAATAGTGTTTTCTCTTTTAATATATTAAGGATTTATACTCAAGAACTAACAGATTCATTTGAAATGTTATTAGTGAAATGACTAAAATATGATTTTTGTTACATAAGTCAATAGACATTGGCCTGTAAACATATATTTATCTTTAAATTTCTGTTTAAATCATAATTACTGTTAAATTTATATTTTATATCTGAACTAGTAAACAATTATTTTCTAAAATATTTCAATTATTATATATTTATAGAATTATTTTCTACTTCCAACGGTCATAAAGTTAATTCTTCAAAAGTTTTTTTTTTTACTTTCTAACGGCTACTTAAACGGCTAATACACAGTATTTTCTGATCTATAAATAAACTTATTTTTCATTCACTCATTTCACTCAAACATTTTATCTTTCGTCGAATCCCCCCAAAGAAAAAAAAAATGCTTAATCTATTTTTAATTTTTGTAATAGGTTATATTTTTGTTGCAATTTATAGTTTATATATTAGAGAATTTTCTCCTGAAGAGTATGTGATGATTTTTATGTTAATGTTTTATGCAATTGTATTTCTTGTAATCTCGTTATTTATTCCAGCTCCACGTATATTTTAAATTAAATAAAATTATTTTGCTAATGATACTCTATGTTATTTTATTTTTAGACACAATGGCAAACATCGAGAAGCTCCAATTCCCGGCCTTGGACATCACTGGTGCTAATTACATTTCTTGGACCACGAATGTCGAACTTCATTTGGAATCTCTTGCGTTGTCAGAAACCATAAAAGAGAACAATACGTCGACGACCCAAGAAAAGGCCAAATCGGTGATCATCCTTAGAAGACACCTAGATGAGAGCATCATATAATTATGCACACATGAGAGATCCCAAAGAGCTCTGGAAGTCTCTGAAAGATCGGTTTGATCATCAGAAAGTCATAACACTTCCACTTGCTCAGGATGAGTGGCAAAGTTTGAGGTTCCAAGACTTTGACAAAGTGATAAACTACAATTCCGCCGTGTTAGGAATTGTGGCCAAACTGAGATACTATGGTGAGATGATGATAGGGTATTGCGATGGTGGAAAGATATGAAATGGTATGAATGAGGTGGAATGCAAACAGTGGTGAATGAAGATGAGATGGTATGGTGCAATCACAATCAATCAATTCCTCTTATCATCATAGTCAATGTAGTACAAGAGGTTATCAATCCAAAATTCCAAATGGGTGAGATGTTGCTCTATGAATTTATGCAAACACAAGAAAGTCAAGCAATATAGTAAAAAGGGATGAATCTAACAACCTAATGAAATGAAAATGCAATGCAGAAGGTAAAAGAAAGCAGTAAATGAAAGATTAAAGGCGACTCGACCGAGTTAAGGCAGAGCATTAGAGCTCGATCGAGTTGGGGTCGAGTTAAAGTAAAAACAGAGGAAATGCGAATGAAAAGCGGTAAAGACAAACTTTTAAGCTATGGAACTAAGATTGGGGTCTAAGACAGGGTCTTGCGACCAGGGGAAGGCTATACTTAATCAATCTTGCACTTTAACCACTTGTATTCAAGGTATCTCTTGGTATTGAGCTTCTCAAGCCTAGCTAACCCTTTCCCAAGGTGAAAGCTATCATCTAAGGCAAGATCTCAGAAACAGGGGGTCAGCCAGTGAGAATCAAGCCTTAGAGGCAGTAGGATCATTGCTCAAACTAACCCATCCAACACCTATAAACTCCATTTCGAGAGCAAGCATATTGGAGCTCTTAGTGGACCTTTTCAAGCGATTTCCAACATTCCATGAGGAAAATCGCCTATGATCAACACACCATGGATAGTGGTTGTGTTGCATTAAGGTTTTGTCCAAAAGAGAGAGATTTTAGATTAAGAACATCAAGCAAGAGATTAAGCATAAAATCCTCTAGTCTAGCCCATCTTAAACCCTAAAGAGAACTACTCACTACACATTGCAAATATGATCAAATGCAATAAAGAGACATTGAAAGATAGAAAGATAAAGATAACAACTTTTATTGAAATAAGCAAGTGCAAATACAAAAGATAAGGCCTAGATCTAAGGTTCAAGAGCAAGAGCTCAAGAACACAAAGAGAGGCTAAGGTTTTGCAAAAAGTAAAATACAAAACTAAATAAAGCAAAACGAAATTAAGCTAAAGAGTTGTGTTTTTTCGTGGCTACAAGCCTTAAATACAAAAGAGATTAGGTTTAGGGTCAAAGGGGAGTCAAAGGGAAGCAACATTTTTCGGGTTTGACCATTGACTCCGCAGCTCGATCGAGTTGTAACTTGGCCGGTCGAGTTGAGGACCGGTTGGTCGAGTAGGTGGGTCGAGCTGCTTCAAGATGGCTTCCTTCTTCGTCCTAAGCATGTGCGGCTGAGCTGAATCCATGCACAAGTCCTTCCTTGCTCCTCACGTCCCAGTTGCTCCAAAGTGCTCCAAAAGACCTATTTAAGGATCAAACATGCACATGTATGCAAATGCAACCTAAAACTACTATGAATGCATAAGAAGGGAAAAGGAACAAGATATGATGCTAATGGATGCTAAAACTATGCAAAAGATGCATAAAAGATGTACTAAAACTATGCAAAATGCAAGTACATCATGAGACCATAACGAAAGCTCAAATGCTGGAGAAGACGTACACCACATTCCACAAGGATCACATCACCCTGCAACAACAATACATGTTGCGGGGATACACCAAATTTTCTGATTTGATTGTGGCACTCCTAGTTGCGGAGAAAAACAATGAGCTCCTCATAAAGAATCACATGACTCGACCTGCTGGATCCAAAGTGTTTCCTGAAGCAAACGCATTGGATGTAAAGAAACCGGTGAAAGAAAACAATTCTTTCCGAGGTCGTGGAGGTCGAAACAATCCGGACGTGGCGGACGTGGGAGATACAACCCAAATAACAAAAGGTCATTCCAATGGAATCGCTCTGAACAATCTTCAGAAAAAGAGCACCAAGAAAACACCTCCCAGAAGCGAGAGACTGTTTGTTACAGATGCGGTACAAAGGACATTGGTCCCGGAATTGCCGTACTCCTAGGCACCTTTGTACATTGTACAAAGATTCCTGCCAAAGGCAAAGGAAAAGAAGTAAACCTTGCAGAGCACTCAGAGGGAACAACCCACCTCGATGCTTCTGACTTTGCAGATGATTTCGATGACACCGTCCCATCTGAAGTCTGAAATATCCGTCATGTGACTCATGAAATCCCAAGGATTGTGTTATAAATAATTGCCACTTGTGTGAAATGTTTAAAATTAATAATGCTTGCACTATCTATTTATGTATAATTATTGTGTGATGCTAAACTACTTATGTATAATTATTGTGTAATTTTTCAACTATTAATGTATAATTATTGTGTGCTATTTGCTTGATTAATAAAATTACCTTATTTATATAACTTGTTTTGTTGATCTCAGAAATGGATTACAAAACGAATGGAACAACATCCAAGATGAATAATGGAGATATATGTATACCAGACAGTGGAACAACGCACACTATTCTGAAACATAGAAAATATTTTTCTAATTTAAAACCGACAAAGATTATTGTCAATACAATCTCAGGTCCTGCAGAAGGGACTGGTAACATTAATTTTGCATTACCTAATGGGACGAGATTCTCAATAGATAATGCATTATTTTCTCCAAATTCGAAAAGGAATTTGTTGAGTTTTAAAGATATATACCTTCAAGGGTTTGATACTCAGTCAGCGACTGAGGATGGAAAGAAGTATATGTATATAACTTCTGAAAAATCAGGAAAAGTGAAAGTATTGGAAAAGTTACCAAAACTCCCTTCTGGTTTGCATCATACATATATCAATGAGATAGAATCACATCTAGTGATCAAAAGAAATCTTGATGATTTCACAATATGGCATGATCGCCTTGGCCATCCTGGTACTACTATGATGCGAAAAATTATTGAGAACTCACACGGGCATTCCTTGAAAATGCAAGAAATATACCAAGGAAAGAAAATGACGTGTGCCGCGTGTTCTCTTGGAAAATTGATAATAAGGCCATCACCATCCAAAATTGATAAAGAATTACCAAAATTCCTTGAACGAATCCAAGGTGATATATGTGGACCTATACATCCACCGTGTGGACCATTTTACTACTTCATGGTAATGATTGACGCGTCAAGTAGATGGTCACATGTTTGTCTATTATCATCTCGAAATGTGGCATTTGCGAGATTTCTAACTCAGATAATCAAACTAAGAGCTCAGTTTCCTGATTATCCAATAAAAGGAGTTAGACTAGATAATGCTGGTGAGTTCACATCTCAAGCATTCAATGATTATTGTATGGTAACTGGGATTAATGTTGAACATCTGTGGCCCATGTTCATACAAAATGGTTTGGCCGAATCATTAATTAAGCGTTTGCAATTAATTGCTAGACCATTGATCATGAGATCAAAACTCCCACCCTCTGTATGGGACATGCTGTTTTACACGCAGAAGCTCTTATTCGAATAAGACCAAGTGCATACCATAAGTATTCCCCATTACAGTTGGCTTTTGGTCGAGAACCAAATATTTCTCATCTAAGAATTTTTGGTTGTGCGGTATACGTACCTATAGCACCACCACAACGTACAAAGATGGGACCGCAACGAAGATTAGGAATATATGTTGGTTGCGATTCCCCGTCTATTATACGATATCTCGAACCACAAACGGGAGATGTCTTTACGGCACGCTTTGCTGACTGCCATTTTGATGAGAAAGTATTCCCGGTTCTAGGGGAGAAAATAAGCAAGAAATGAAGGATATCAAGTGGTGTGTACCATCCTTACTACACCTTGATCCTCCTACAAAACAATCTGAACTAGAAGTTCGACGAATTATGCATTTGCAGAATATAGCAAATCAGTTACCTGATGCGTTTGCTGATACCAAATTGGTAACAAAATCACATATACCAGCTGCAAATGCCCCTGCTCGTATTGAAATACCACATGAACGTGCAAAGGCAGACGATACACGTGAGTCTAAAACACGCTTGAAGCGTGGTAGACCTGTTGGTTCTAAGGATAAAAATCCTAGAAAGCGAAAGGAAGTTGAGAAGCATGATGATCCTAAAATAACAGAAAGTATTTTAGGAGAAACAAGTGATATACCTCTAATTTACCCACTTTTTATACTGTTTTAGCATTGTTTTCTAATGGTTTTTGGCAGGTTTTCTATCTAAAAAGGTAGTTTTACTGTGTTTATAGTGTCTAGAGTCTAAACAGGTGAAATGATGCATTTTGGAGCAAAACCATAGGATTTGCACTTCAAGCAGCTCCATGCACAAGCACCAACTTTAAGAGGGCCCAGAAAAAGATCTACTCAATGGATTTCATCAAGACCAGTTCCCTGCGTGCTCTGATTGAGTTAACTTTCCAACGCAATTGGAATGGCTCATTTGGATGAGTAGAAAAGGAGTTATACCAAAAGAGTGGAGACTGTCCAGACGGCTCTATCGAGAGAATCAGCGCCCAACCGCGCAGTCCGGCTGGCCGAGGAACGAATGTTCCGCGCTCGGCCAAACTCGTCCGTCCGTCTGAAGTCTCGGCCAAAGTCCAAAACCACTCGGCCGATCACGCAATCACGACCCGGGAAACTCATTGCCCGCGGTCGGCCACGCCACAACGCCACGCCACAACCGCGCACGACCAAAGCGCGCGAGCCGGGAAAGTAAGCCTCGCGGCCGCGCAACTCGTTCGCGTACCGGCCGACGCTCCGTCCGAGCCGGGAAAGAACGTCCCGCGTCCGGCCGAGATTTCATCGGCCAAATTCATCCGCCGACCACGCCGACCGACCGAATCCGTCCGACCCCGACCGTTCCGACTCGGCCACGACCGACTGTCCGGCCGATCGTCCCGCCGACCGTCCCAACGCCGCGGTCGACCCGAAGCCCTTTTTGAAGCCCAAACTTATGTTTTCAAGCCCGGCTTAACCCTAAGCCGCCTCTAGAAAGACCTAGCACTATATATATGGATTTTTAGCCTCTTGTGAAAAGAGAGCCGCCCTGTATTTCGATTTCCTACTCTAAGTTTTATTGCAATCATGTTTTCTTCATCTCTATGTGTGTTTGCTTTGATCATGTCTGAGTAATCCACTAGTTAGGTTGCTAGGGTTACTATTCAATGAGTTGCTTGCATGATCTTTGATTTCAATGATTAGCTAGGGATTATATTAGAGTCTTTGTCTCGTCTTGTGCACTTAACTAATGCTGATTGCTTTACCGCGCATCTAGTAATCCGATCTTAGGTTGATTTGAGCCAC